AGCAGCAATCTATGCACCCATTTCTTCATACACTTGTATTATGTACCATTAGCAGCAATCTATGCACCCATTTCTTCACACACTTGTATTATGTATAATTAGCAGCAATCTATGCACCCATTTCTTCACTCACTTGTATTATGTACCAATAGCAGCAATCTATGCATCCATTTCTTTATTCACTTGTATTATGTACCAATAGCAGCAATCTATGCATCTATTTCTTCACACAATTGTATTATGTACCAATAGCAGCAATCTATGCACCCATTTCTTCATACACTTGTATTATGTACCATTAGCAGCAATCTATGCACCCATTTCTTCACTCACTTGTATTATGTACCATTAGCAGCAATCTATGCACCCATTTCTTCATACACTTGTATTATGTACCATTAGCAGCAATCTATGCATCCATTTCTTCACTCGCTTGTATTATGTACCATTAGCAGCAATCTATGCACCTATTTCTTCATACACTTGTATTATTTACCATTAGCAGCAATCTATGCACCCATTTCTTCACTCACTTGTATTATGTACCATCAGCAGCAATCTATGCACCCATTTCTTCATACACTTGTATTATGTACCATTAGCAGCAATCTATGCACCCATTTCTTCACACACTTGTATTATGTATAAATAGCAGCAATCTATGCACCCATTTCTTCACTCACTTGTATTATGTACCATAAGAAGCAATCTATGCATCCATTTCTTCACTCACTTGTATTATGTACCATTAGCAGCAATCTATGCACCTATTTCTTCATACACTTGTATTATTTACCATTAGCAGCAATCTATGCACCCATTTCTTCACTCACTTGTATTATGTACCATCAGCAGCAATCTATGCACCCATTTCTTCATACACTTGTATTATGTACCATTAGCAGCAATCTATGCACCCATTTCTTCACTCACTTGTATTATGTACCAATAGCAGCAATCTATGCACCCATTTCTTCACTCACTTGTATTATGTACCAATAGCAGCAATCTATGCATCCATTTCTTCATTCACTTGTATTATGTACCAATAGCAGCAATCTATGCATCTATTTCTTCACACAATTGTATTATGTACCAATAGCAGCAATCTATGCACCCATTTCTTCATACACTTGTATTATGTACCATTAGCAGCAATCTATGCACCCATTTCTTCATACACTTGTATTATGTACCATTAGCAGCAATCTATGCATCCATTTCTTCACTCACTTGTATTATGTACCATTTGCAGCAATCTATGCACCTATTTCTTCATACACTTGAATTATTTACCATTAGCAGCAATCTATGCACCCATTTCTTCACTCACTTGTATTATGTACCATCAGCAGCAATCTATGCACCCATTTCTTCATACACTTGTATTATGTACCATTAGCAGCAATCTATGCACCCATTTCTTCACACACTTGTATTATGTATAATTAGCAGCAATCTATGCACCCATTTCTTCACTCACTTGTATTATGTACCATTAGCAGCAATCTATGCACCCATTTCTTCACTCACTTGTATTATGTACCATTAGCAGCAATCTATGCACCCATTTCTTCACTCACTTGTATTATGTATAATTAGCAGCAATCTATGCACCCATTTCTTCACTCACTTGTATTATGTACCATTAGCAGCAATCTATGCACCCATTTCTTCACACACTTGTATTATGTATAATTAGCAGCAATCTATGCACCCATTTCTTCACTCACTTGTATTATGTACCATTAGCAGCAATCTATGCACCCATTTCTTCACTCACTTGTATTATATACCAATAGCAGCAATCTATGCACCCATTTCTTCACTCACTTGTATTATATACCAATAGCAGCAATCTATGCACCCATTTCTTCACTCACTTGTATTATATACCATTAGCAGCAATCCATGCACCCGTTTCTTTATGCCATTTTATCTAAGATCGTGACTGTTTGAAATGCATTTAAAACAGTTATGTCAGAAAAGTAAACAAAAATTACAGAGCTTTGAAATTGAACAATTTTAAGAATTTTTACGAAGTGATCCTACTTCTTGCAGTGAAATTATTTGATAAAATCTAAATAGAGACAACTAATTTTAATTAGCAACACGGAAGTAGAAGTTAGAAAATATAGGAGTAATCAACAAATAGAGAAAGCGACGGAATGTTGAAAGTGCGTGAGAGAGATTTAATTTTAAAAAGAACACTAGTCACAATAAATATGTTTTAAGTGTTTATTTTTGTTACGCTTTTCAGGGAAAAGGGGCAAGCATAATTTAAGTATCTAAAAGGAGCAAATTTTCTCGCTTCTAATATGCAAAGGGAAATAACTGCATCAAAGGGAAAATATTTAAATATGAAAATTTTTGCTTCCCTTGTAAATACTACGCTATATATCTTTGGTAATAATGCATTATTTTAAAATTTCGATATGATTAGGTCCTTTATATAAAAGAGAATGAGGCAAGGACATTTTGATGCGCATTAAAAAAAATAATTTTATGAGTGATTTTGGATTTCTCTAACAACTGATTTAGATTTTTTTAGTTATGTTATTTATACCTGGTAAAACTACAATGCAAAATGTGTGTTTTATTTAGGTTCAATCAATGAGATGTGTTTTTCTGCATATATTTTTCTGGCTGTTAAAAATTTTAAAGAAAATTAACTGATTCAATGGGAGTAGTGAATTTTAGTTGCATTATTTCACAAAATATAAGACTATATAACAAGATATAATAATATATAAATCTTATTCACTGCTCTCTGGTACTGTTTGACTGCTTTCTTTACATCCTTATAGAAATCCTCAAATAGAAAAAAAATGATAATGGACAACCAAGGAGTTGGAAGGATATTATTTCACATCATTGCTAAAATATTTTTTAATCCTTCAATTTAAATATATATATTTATAATGGATGGCCTGTGATATAACCCTACACAATTGTAGGCTTTTAAGAAATAAATAGCATCTCGTGTATACTGAAGAAGCAAATATTTGATATTTTGACCACTGGCATCACGTTGTCCAATTTCAAGGCCAATTGTCATGGGTTCTTAAACATAATCAGTTTCATATTAAACAATCACCTAAAGCATTACTTTACTTATTACTTTACTTTACATATTACTGATTACTTTACCTACACATTTGAGTATATTATAATTTAATTATTCCAATAGATCTACATAAAATGGATTCCAAACTTTTTTAATAAGAAATAACCTTAAATATAATTTCAGGAAGAAACAACCATAATACTTTGGTAAATAATAAAACTTTATGATTTGTTGTTTTAATATTAAAAAAAACATACTTTTGATTAAATATTTGCTGACTACTTTAACCAGAATGTAATTCTCCCACAAATGAGTAAGTTCAAGCAGGGTTAGAAAATTATTTCAATTGATCAATTACAAATGTAATAAAATTACCAGTTATAAACTGACTAAGGCCACAGCTGACATTTTATTTTTATACACTACAGCATAGAATAACGTGGATTACTTTTTTTTTCACCAAAAATTTTTAATTAAAAATGTAATATCTATTATTTATATGAAATTATGGTAGCCAGCCAAGATTTAACATGTAACAAACATGATCAGTTTTAAGAAAGAGCCTGGCAATGTCAGTTTCTGAATGCTCTCTCCTGGCATCTCCTATACCTGCCATGGAAGTGCATACGCTTTACAGTGGATGTTCCCTGAGAGTGGAATCAAGAAAGACCTTAGAAGACTGGAGTCACCTAAGAAGACTGGAGTCACCTCAGAAGGCTGGAGTCACCTCAGAAGACTGGAGTCACCTCAGAAGACTGGAGTCACCTAAGAAGACTGGAGTCACCTATGAAGACTGGAGTCACCTCAGAAGACTAGAGTCACCTAAGAAGACTGCACTCAGAAGACTGGAGTCACCTAAGAAGACTGCACTCAGAAGACTGGAGTCACCTGAGAAGACTGGAGTCACCTAAGAAGACTGCACTTAGAAGATTGGAGTCACCTAAGAAGATTGGAGTCACCTAAGAAGACTGCACACAGAAGACTGCACTCAGAAGACTGGAGTCACCTCAGAAGACTGGAGTCACCTCAGAAGACTGGAGTCACCTCAGAAGATTGCACTCAGAAGACTGGTGTTACCTCAGAAGACTTGTACCTAAGAAGACTGGTGTTACCTAAGAAGACTGGTGTTACCTCAGAAGACTGGTGTTACCTAAGAAGACTGGTGTTACCTCAGAAGACTAAAGTCACCTTAGAAGACTAGAGTCACCTCAAAAGGACCTTTAAAATGAGGGTATTGTCTTAAACTGTCCAAGTTTCCTGAGCCACTGAGAAGGGGAAATCACTTTAGCCCTATGCACTGGAATATTCAAGAAGGACTTTACTACATTGATCATTACAACTGTACACCATTATAAAATACACCATTTATACAATAGAAATATGTGTAAAACAAATTGTTTTGTACTCATTAGTACGCTAATAAGAATAAGTCAAGAAAAATAATTATGTAAAGTTAATTTTAACTTTAGTACAACAAAAATGGTAAAAGGCAAAATCAATAAGTAAATTTTGAGCAGTATCAGCAGTAAAAAAAAAAAGAAAATAGAACTTTAGAAATAAGCCCAAATTACATTGTTTATTGAAATATAAAATTGACAAAGTTCATCCAACAATTATGATAAAAACAATAATGACAAGCTTTGCCAAAAAAGCACCTGACATGAATGAGTAGGTCAACAACTGGACATTTTTCAAGATCAGGGCAAACTTGCCGAGAGTATATTCCATGGAATGTTAGTTGTTCTTTATTTCTAACAATACAAAAACTTCAACCACATAAATTAAAAAAAATTAACACAAATTTATGTTATGATAGCCAGAATGATTTTCAAGGATTATCACAAGGCACAGGAATAAAGTGAATAGAAACATTTGCTAATCACCCTGATGTAAATTGAAAAACGGTCACTAAATACATGAATAGCTTGGTGAAACTTAAATGGAAATACCTTTGTCCCTTTAGTATGCCTGTAATGATTACCTTGCTTAGTCTGATGATGAGGGCAAAAAAACTTACTCAGGGCAAAAAATAAAATCATAAATAATAGAGAATCAGATCTAACTTATATAAAACAAATAATAAAAAATCAGAACTAACTTATATAAAATAAATATTAAATAAAGATTCCAAACATTTTAAAGTAACATCTGTTATTTAACTGGAAATAAATCATTAGCAAATCACTACAGTATTACTTTATTTACTCTACGAGCTGTTTAAAAGGGGAAAAAATAAAATGTCAATAATTTTTTAGTGCTGCACTGCATGCAGTTAGCCCATGAAAATTCTGTCACTAACGTGGATTATATATTACTACATTTACTCAATATACTATGCTAATGTGATGCAACACGGAGTTCCAATGGAAAACTCTGACACTCTCTGTCATCAAAGGGATCAAATGTAATACTTTAGGAACTAAGTAATTAATACATTGTTTAAAATTTGTGTCAAGTGGTCCAGCTCAGGATGTTTAGACGTAGTGGATGATAGTAATGACAATATCTACAAACAGGCATAACCTGTTCTGAAAGAAATCAGTATCCAATATTAAAAACTGGGCTGTCCATGGTGTTATCCGCTAACGCTATGAATGGTGGAGCTGGCAGTGCATTGACCTTTGAGTAGACACCACATGTGAGAAGGGCGCAGGGAGTCGTCTTCCAGCTGTATCTCAAACCACGCACCTGCTGGCCGTGTCCACACACAGATATTGATAAGCTGACAGTTGTTGAGCTGAACCCCATTATGCTTGTTGGTAGCCACCAGGTTGTCTTAGAAGGTAAGGCTGCTGTGCACAAGACCTGAATAAAATTGAGTTTGTTAGATTTTTTTTTAAATTTAAAAATAAATTTACAAAATTATATACTTTTTTTCAATTCAAGCTTTATTTCTAAATCATAACATCTTAATATAGAAAATAATTTGTATTTCTCATATAGAAAATAATTTGTATTTCTCATATAAAAAATAATTTGTATTTCTCATTGTTGTGTTGTTGGGTATGAAATTAATGGTTTACACCAACAGATACACAGAGGTTTAACATTTTTTTATTATTTAAAATTCAAAATCATTAGGTCAGTCTTTAAATAGTAAAATTCCCAGGACTGACCTCAAATCCTTCAGTGCTTCTCACATCTAGAGTCCACATGTCTCCATAGTCAACAATCAAAGTTGTCTCATTAACTACTAAAGCTTTAAATGGAAAAGGACCCTGGTAGAGAAGTTTCTGGTTGTAGGCCACAGCACGTCCACTCAAGGAAAGTCTGTATCCAACTTCCAACTTATGTCTTGTGTGCACTCTGAGCAGCAAAATATTCGGTTCAAAAATAAGGAAAATATCAACGCTTTAACAGACATTATATTTCTCCTCTCATAAATATTTTGTTTTCAAAGTTATTACAGTATAAATTTTAAAATGTTTTCACGTTACTTTTTTTCGTTTTTTTTTTCAAACTTTCTAAATCCTATCTGTCTCCTGCTTATTTTCAAGAAAATCCTTAATGAGCTTTCTTAAACCCACTCCAGCCAAATGTGCTGTAAGGCACCTTACCAGTTTTCCATAAGCAGAAACTGATGCACCATGGCCTACCATTTTATGCATAATGCTCTTACAGGAGAGGTAGGTTAGGTAGGAGTGAATTACTACATATTATTTTACTATGATAAATCTTTTATTCAGCTAGTTTTAGTTCTTATTGTTATTGTTAATAAAATTCTATATAAGAATATAATTAGCTGTATTATCTGTACTAATTTAATTTAATTGCCAAATAAATGTAAAATTTCATAATGTAATAAATGAAATAATTCATGTACTGAATATTTTAATACAATTTTTTGAAATCTTCTACATTTATTTATAGATTCATGATTTTATATATAGCTCCTTGCATAATTATGTGAGATATTATTAAGTAAATTATTCTGTTTATTTTATAGAGCATAAAAATAAATTGATCAGATTATTCTATCTCTTTTTAAAACTATCATTCTAACCACCAATCCATTAGATATTTTTGTCTGAAAATTGTTTATTTGCAGTTGTCGTTAAAGTATTTGCCATCGTTAAACAGCTAAGATTTGTTTATCACACACAACATTAAACAGCTTCTTTATAATTCTCAAGGCATGAAAACATTTTTTAAATTTAAATTTGAAACTGCATTAACACGCATCACAAAATCAAAATTTTTTTAATATTGACAAAATTTATCCTTCAACAAAGATTTGCGAAGTAATCAGTGTAATATTTAATATCCCCCTTTTTTTGGTTTTCATCCAATATTGGCACTTTCTTTCCATCCACCAATCAGTCAGATTTCTAGTCCATGTCTCCAGCATAATTTTTGATGCCCCCTCATTACACTCTTGTCCCATGACACAGATATGCCTGCCCCATACTGACCTTAAAAGTCAGTTGAAACAAGGGACAACCAGTAACATGATGTTACAAAACATAACAAATTTTAAAAGAAAAAAATTAAATAATTCACAGATATTGAAATGTTGATACAAAAAAAGTAGAAAGTAAAAAATATGAAAAAAGTTTTGAAAAAAGACTTTCTTTGACAAGTTTAAACAGTAGTTTAAAAAAGTTTAAAAAGTAGAAAATCATTTGAAATGTCTTATTTTGCACTTGCAAAGAAAATATTTTAAAAAAATAATAAATTATCTTCTACTTTTTAGTGCGTTTAAACTCGTCTTTGATAGAAAGTCTTTTTTTTTTAATTATTGTTATTTTTTTTTAAGTCTTACATTGAAGTTGGAGTGGTAAAAGTGATTTTTTAAAAATTCAAATAAATATGAAAATTCAGAAATTTTTTGTATAAAATAAAATTCTTAAAACATATTGCTGAAGGCCAAAACTTACGGGCCTGATGGGGCATCGAAATCTGGCAAGTCCATAGCAACAGCCATAAACACTTGTCTCATTCGTTTATTGGGAACTACCCCATAATCAGCAGTTTGATGCCAGCGAATGTCCACATAGCCATCATGGGGTTCATTTGGGCTGCTGGTCGATAACTATACAAGGAAGAAACAACAAACATTTCAGCAACAGTGGCCGGCCCTGCCTTACACTTAAATTGTTGTCTTAACTACCAGATCTTTTTAGTGAGCAGCTTGACAAATTACAGTTTTGTTTCCCTTTAAGCTATCTTAATAATGAAATTAATAAAATATTTAAATTATTTTTTAAAGAAATCTTTGAACATTATGGCACACATCATCAATTTTGGGCCAACATTTTTGTTAGATACTGTTATGGGGTAGTCCCAATACAGGCTTAATTGTCTCAGTAGTATGGAACATGCTATAGCATAGTCCCAATACAGGCTTAATTGTCTCAGTAGTATGGAACATGCTATAGCGTAGTCCCAATGCAGGTTTAATTGTCGCAGCAGTATGTAACATGCTATAGCGTAGTCCCAATGCATGTTTAATTGTCTCAGTAGTATGTAACATGCTATAGTGTAGTCCCAATGCAGGTTTAATTGTCTCAGTAGTATGTAACATGCTATAGCGTAGTCCCAATGCAGGTTTAATTGTCTCAGTAGTATGTAACATGCTATAGCGTAGTCCCAATGCAGGTTTAATTGTCTCAGTAGTATGGAACATGGTATAAGGAAGTCAACGCAGGTTTAATAGTCTTATTATAAAATTCAAAATTTGCGACCAATTAAAGTAAATTTTGATTGATTGATACTTATATAGCGCTAAGTATCCATGCTATTTTAGTATTAAAGACATTTTAAAATACCTTTATTGAATTAGAAGACACATCTCTCCAAGCAGGAGTTGAAGTTGACAACCAAAAAACAAAATACATGACCATGATAAGAGAGGAACAAACAGATGGAACAATTAAAATTAGAAACCAAACTTTTGAAAAAGTAAATCAATTCAAATACCTACGATCCTTGTTAAATGAAAGAAACGAATTACTAACAGAAATAAAAGAAAGAATATCAGCCGGAAACAGGGCATAATTCAGTAGTCAGAAAATACTCAAAAGTAAAAACATTACAAGAGAAGCAAAGAAAAATATTAATAAAACTGTGATCAGACCATTTGTAACATATGCAAGTGAAACTTGGACCCTAGCAAAAACAGCAGAAAGCCTATTAAACACATGGGAGAGGAAAGTTCTCAGGAAAATATATGGGCCAACAAAGGATGAATATGGATGGAGAATACGAACCAAACAGGAATTATACATCAGGATCCCACAATAGCGGCAGAAATAAAAAGAGGCATGCAACGCTGGGAAGGACACCTAGAGAGAATGCCAAATGACAGAGGAACGAAGAGGGTGCATCACCAATACCCCAGAGGAAAAAGGCTCAAAGGCAGACCTAGGCTTAGGTGGATAGATGATGTAGAAAAAATGTAGATCTACAGCAACTGAAAGTCCAAGCATGGAAAAGAAAGGCATTAGTTAGGTATGAGTGGAAGGAAGTGGTGAGGCAGGCCAAAGCCCTACAATGGCTGTAGCGCCACAGGGATGGATGGATGGATCCATGCTATTTTAGCATGCTCACTGCGCTCTAGGTGATGGCATCTGGGGCCATCGCAGGGGTTGTTTGAATGTTTGCTGCCTGTAGGCGACACCATCTCCGGGTTTGAATTTAGAGTTTCCTACTCTTAGATGAGTTGCCGACCAAGGTTAACAAGTCCCATCTACCCAGGGTGCTGGTGAGGTTTTTGCTTGACTGGGCTTTGGCTGGAATTTAACTTCCGACCACCAACTCTCGACCACCCGGCCCACCGCTGCCTGTCGGGCGCTTGTGAACCGGAATCTCTGGCTCTGGTTGGAATTGAACTTGAGATTTGCTCAGCTAAGACCACTCTGCCACCCAGCACTCAAATCCACATAATAATAATACATTTAATAGTCTGAAACACCTAAATCGTAAATTTCTTTAACTCTCTTTAACTCTGACAAGCAGACCACATCAAGGAAAGATTAACATACCTGTACAAACCCAAAGGGAAATAAGATGTCTGTCTGGCCATAAGAAGCCAAATTAAAGGAAAACCTCCAATCATCTATCATCACAGGAAACGTGCAGTTATATCTGTTCATAAACACAGGTTCAACAGAATCACTTTCACCTGGGGGGCAATTTATAAAATCCTTTTAAATAGATGAATAATCAAATCACACTTCATATAGTTTTAATGGAGAAAGGACATACTACCTGCAAAAAGAAAGCAGTGGACAGAGGACATAACTTCATCACTGTCTACCATATCTGCCAGTTGTCAGCTCACTCCATTGTAAGGTTGGTGGGTTAGAAAAGCAGAACACAAGAAAAGTCTTAAACATTTCCCCCAAGATTACACAAGGAGGAAATGATCCAGGGGCATTCTCCCAGTTAAAGCCACAGCTTCCTACAATCTTTTGCCTCATGAGCGGCTTGAGGTTCAGAGTGAATGTAGTCTATGACAATAGGCTGTAGGTGGGATGCCTGTTGTTTGTGAGGCATTGCCGGCCATCTTCAACATTAATATACTGGGTGCCATCTCTAGCCTTGATTCATGCACTCATGAGTACATCTCAAATCATCAGGGGCAATTGAAATCATAGTCCCTAACATGTGCCTTATGCTGTCACTGTCATGACCATGTGCCTTAGTCTGCCACGACCTGGTGTCTTTTTCTGTCATGAGCATGTGCATTACGCTGTCATGACCAAGTGCTTTATTCTATCATGACCATGTGCCTTATTCTTCCATTGTCATGACAACGGGCCTTAGTCTGTCATACACTAATATACCTGTGCGGGGAGTCCTTGTCACTCTACGCCATGTAAGACACAGAGGTCCTAGTGATCTCACCTTCCAAACATATACAGCACTGTGGATATATTGCCATTATGCATCAGAATTGGGAAGAGACTGACAACTGATATGATTTACATGGGTTTACTCAGTTGACACTTATGTTAACACCAACCTTGGTACCAAATAACTCCATAGATGGTCATACTAAGCATTGGGTAAACCATGGAATTCCACAACTGGGAGTTGTCCCCAGGACCTCCAATGTAAATTTTGTTCACTGTTTCATCATAAATTCTGAAATGAATTAAATCTCAGTTTAATAATGCAATTCAGTGGAACAGACTATAGACGTCACTGAAAAGCTGTGTGAAAAGTAACATAATGAAGTCATTGAGTTATGATACATAGCTATAAGTTAAAATATTAGGTTCTAATTATTTGTAAAACACAAATAGGACAACTTCATGTATGTTTTGTGGGGTTGAATAGTAAAATTTCCCCAATTAAGAATAAATAACCTGGCTTGACTATAATAATCTTAAAAGCAGACATCTTGATAGATCTATGGTACCCACTTTAAAATAGCTGTTAAACTAGTTTTAAACCTTTTATCTGTAGCATTCACTCCACACTGCTTTAATGCTTTTGGTGATGACCAGGCCTCTATTGGTGTCCCGCCATAGTTGGTGCCGACCAGGCCGATTGGATAACCAAGTGATGCATATAACGCCTTTCCAAACAACCAACAAACAGCAGAGAAGGAGGCAATACTGGCTAAAAGATGAAAAACTAATTATCAATATCCCAGTTCTGGTTATTTTAATTTATATCTAATATTTTCAACATTACCTTTTCTCATCAGCTGAAAAGTAACAAAAATGAATTGACATGATAATAAAATTGACAAGCAGTTTAGGAAAACTTAAATGTTAATTTTTTTGGCGGACTATTAAAAAAAGAGAGCTCACTGTTTACTGGTGAAGTCCACGCTTGTTCTACTCCTATCAAATCAAACAAAGGGACTGTGGATGATTGTCTAAGAACATTCATGAATCGAATGTTGGGATACTTGTATGCATTGGCGATTTCTGTCTGACCACCAAACATCTGAATAGAAAAGTTAGATGCTCAGCTAGCTATAAAATATATTGAATGACCCGTTTCTTTAATTTACATTATTTGATTTTAATTTGTTGAACAATCTGATCGTTCAGATAATTTTAAAAAAAATATCTAACTGATTTTTTAAAGAATGCATAAAAATCACATAGGCCTACTTGTTGAACCATGAACTGCATGTTGGATTGTCCAGAGCAAAGCCAAATATCACCAAACAGAACATCCTCCAAGACAAGAGACTCATTTCCACCACAGTCTGCTCTGATTGTGGCAGATTCATTAGTTTTGAAAGGATCCAGTTGCACTTTCCACACACCATACTGTGACATAGGTCCTGGTTGAATCACATCAGTGTAATAGTATACGTTAGATCCCAAGGCTACCTGAAAGAGTGAAGTGACAGCAGTTTCATTTTAATAGATTTTACACTCAGAAAAACATCAAACATTTTATTGCAAATATTTAGATATCTCATTCTTTAATCTGTTCAAACATAATTAATGTTATTATAATGACTGAACTCAAATTACAACTATTTCCCAAAAACAACAGATAAGAAGCAAAAATAGATTCAAGGATAAATAGGTTGATGCGTGGATAAAAGGTAACTTTAATTAAATGTGCCAGAGAAAAAATGTTTTTACCAATACCAACATTGGGTTCATTTTCATTCAGCCAGCTTTTACAATAAATTATCATGTATTTTAAAAAATGTCCGTTAACTTTACAATATTTACATCTATCACCACTGTTTTTCCAATATCTGAAACTGATGCAAACCCATTGAGGTTGGCCTGTTTTGGGGCTTGTTGTAGGACCATGTGACTTTGAAAATGTTTGGCAAATGAGAATCTCAAATCTTGGCCAGTAGATCCTCCATTAGGTTTATCATTAACTATTGAGAGGGGGGAAAAAAAGGAAAAATGAAATGCAGTTTAAATTTGAATTTAGTATTAGTTTGGAACTACCCAATAACTACTACACAATTATATATTTGTATTAACTACGGTATCTTGCAGAATAGTTTGGGCTGGGTGAATTTAACAAAACTTGCAACCACAAAGCAAGGGGTACAAACTGATGTAGCCACAGCACCAATGTTCCCTCTAAATTGTCCACATGTGATCTGACACATGTACATTAACACATGACTTTTTGCAAAGCAAGGGGATACAGAAATTTAGAGTGCAAACAAAAAATTAAACATTTGGTATTTTTAAAAGAATATTATTATGTATTTTTAAAAAAACAGCTATGTGGCCATATAATTGTTAACAGAATTATAAAAGCTTAAAAAATAAACACTGAAATATTTACATAAATTAGGCCTTGCATAATTATGGATTTGGAGGCAAAGTAGTTCAAAGTCAAGCCTATAATGCCTATTCCCTTTGGATTATCCGCAAGCTCATAAATTTTGATTCACTTTATTGCATGCAAAATGTGCATGATTCCAGAAATGTAGCACACATCAATAACAGCATAACAGAGAGCATGGGTGCTTAAACCAGGTGTGCCCACAGGGGGTGTGGGAGCCAATGTCACGGGGTGCAAGTTTGTTTGCATTTTCGTGAGCCCTTTCTATCATGGGGTGCGGAAAATATGTTTTGAAATAGAGATGGGGATGTAGGAAATGTTTAGAAATCAAAAAGGGATGCGCACCAACATATATTATAATCAAAGTGTAAAGCTTTTTTGACAACATTTTTTTAACATAACAAATGTAAAACTTAAGCAAACTGTTCCAACATTTAACAAAAATTTAAAATAAAATAGTAATACAGAACTGCTGCTGATTTCTGAATGTTACACACATTAAAATTTTAATGAAACACTTACCGGTCCCAAAAGACATTCTGTATATTTCTGACATCTTTGCAGAAAGGGATACAAACTGTAATGACATTACAACAACAGCAAACCAAATAGCTGATGTGCACTTCATAGTTTTCTTGGTACCCATCAGCATCCTAAAATAAGTATTAATAATTAATAACATTAATTCATTAAACTGGAGAATCAGTTATTTAAATAATTTTAAATATGCCTTTATAATTTAAGTTTTTATTTTTATGTTATTTCTATCTCTTTTTTGTGTGTGCAAAACTTACACTGCAAGTTCTCCATTTTGACTTATAATTATTATCTAGATTTAATTATATATGTATAATTTTTAGTACCGTATAATATATTGTAATATATCGGTACTTTAAAATTTTTAGTAAATAAACTTTTCTCAAGGCTGTAGGCCTAAGTATAGTAATTTGTTTGTCATTGGAGACACTGCAGTATTTAGTACCTGTACTCATGGACACTGTCCTCCCCCTCCCTTCCCCCCTTTCACTTTCACACTAAAAAAATGTATAAAAAATTACAAACTACTTAAAATTTAATCTAATATACTCTTCCTTATATTTATATATTAAATTTATAAACGTGACATCTTCTGCATAATACATTCATCACAACAGAAATTTCAACATCACTGTCCATGAAGGGTTTTATAATATTAAATTATATGAATATTTATATAATGCATGATAAAAAGAAAAATGTGTGATGTCATATAAGATCTTAGCCCCCAACCTCCTACCCCTACCCTGTGTCACAAACTGTGACGTATTTTATGGACGGCCCTTAAACATATTATTATGCTACAGGACCATAAGTCCTCAGATGAAAAAGTGGACACTCAAAATTTTCTTCAAATCCGGTTACCAACCCCTAGACGGCTCTTAGGGCTACGCCAATGTTAATTGTTGAACAAATAAAAGTAAATTTAAATTATATAAAAATGTTCTTAATTGTAAATAGTTCAATTTATAAACTTGTATTAAGTGAGTGTTCAGTACACATTACATTATGCAGGCTGATTTTTGAGTCAAAACTAATGAATCTGCCACAATCAGAATCAGGAAAAAATGTTTTTAATAAGCAACAACTGCATTCCATTGATTTATGGCTGATGGTGCAGCTGAAACCACAGATATGGTAATCACTTTTTGAACGTGGTGTTATGAAAAGTTTGGTAACTTTGGTAGATGATGTTTTTGTTTTTCCGAGAACACCCCTAACATTTTTCGGTGTTTTGATCTGCGCCTTAAATTCAGTTCAGTTTAATTGGCAACGGCAAAATAAGTTCTGCTGCCGTATGCCAAACATTCAGCTTCCCAGTCATATCGACCTGCACAAAAACCTGGGTATTGGGTTTGAAGTGCGTCTGTTAATAAACATGTTCAGGCATTTTTGTCTATTATGGCAATCAGACAATATTTAAATTTTATGTCAAAGTACCAACTTTTAGCAAAAATTCTTGACTTCCCTGAAAATTCTGAAAACAGATTTGATTACAGTATCAACACATGATCATACATAGTCATCAATATACAGGGTAGAAGCTAGCTGTATAGTGTAGTGTATAGTCAGTCCAGACTAGCAGACCCACATGGGACCAATGTAGTCCTTGGCTTTTTACCTCCTTTTCCTTTAGCCTGCTAGTAACGAAGATGCTACTACAAGCAAAGTTATTCCCTAGCATTTTTTAAATTATGACTATGACTCAGAATAACATTTTTCTATTCTCTGTGGAGTGTAGGCCTTGGTAGAAGTTTCAGTGGAGAAGACCCCAACCCAGATAATTACCGATGGTAGGAGTAGGAGCACAAATTATGTCATTGGTCCGACCTTGGCTGAGTTCTGTAAGATAGCCCTTTAAAAGAAGCAATAATATGTTTTCATTTTTCATGTAGCACTTTTGATTAAAAAATTATGATTTTTCGTGAATAAAAACATAGGCCTACTTTTTAACTATAGAAAATGACCCTATTTTTGTGACCACTTTTCAAAATTTTTTAACGAAAAGGCACATAACTTTATTAAGTTATTGAAGAGTGGACAAATAACATTAAACTTTGTAGAAGTGTTAAACAATGTGTTTTCAACATATTTCGTGCTTAAAATGTAAAAATACTATAGATGTTGTATGAGTATTTTAAAATAAATTAAATCATTTCTAAAATATAATTTGAAAAGTTTAAAAAAAACAAAACAACTTCAAATAAAATTTAAAAGATTTAATAAATGTTAAATGTATAGAACAATCAAACAGTGAAATAATGTAATACATGGGACTTATTAACAGGCAAAATAATATATAATATTAAGACATAATAAAGGAATAGATATATTTCGGACACAACTTAACAAAAAAAGCAAATCCCTTCACTAATATGATGTCTGTTAATATTTTTCCTAAGACAATGTCATTATCTTCACCAGCAGCTTCTGTCTCATTATCTGGATCCCAGTATACAATATTGAAAAGTAAAGTATCACCCAATTCTTTTCATTTCAATGATACATCCAAAACATATGTGGTCTTTTTTGTCATTTTCGCTAATTTTTTAAACTAAGCACCCACAACAGACATCCTGTTTTCAATGATAGCATCTAAATATAACTTTATTTTAATTTTGGGGGCATATAAATTAAAACTTCAGAAATAATTTGTCCTGTAACACTTTTAACATCTTTATCTATGTGTTTCCTGTGTGCTTCATCTCTTTTCTTAACAGCTGTTTCTGTTGCAGGAAAATAATTTCTTCCTCAACTCTTTTACTCCTTACTGATTCTTCTTTCTTTAGCTGGCCAGCTCTCTTTTAACCTCTCTACAGTTTGGCACTAAGTTTGCCATCTAAAAATCCAAAAGTAGCATTTATTGGGTGCACAAGAAAAGATGGTCTTTCATCACAAGGGATTGTTCAGCCCAAATGTTATGGGTAGGAGCCAAAGCAGCCTGAAGCAACAACTCTCTAGAAGGGCTATGCAATGTCCCACCCTCCAAAAAATCCTTAAGCTGTTGGGTCAGCTTTTTGTGAAAGGTTTGAGCCAATTCTTCCTAACTTTTAACCAAGCATCATCACAATCAAAAGGTTTCAGTGATGCAGCATCTATCTGCTCCACAAAAATAGTTTCTGCATTGATTAAATTTGTTGTTTTTTTAAATCAATAATCAAATTTCTGATTCACTTCTGTATATAAGGTGCCTGAAAAAAGAAAAAATGTGTTTCAGTTGTGAAAAAGAAAATGAATTTAAAATTCATTAGCATTTTTTAAAAGACATAGTATGTAATGTAGGCTACAGAACTTATTAATAAATAAATAATAACATAGCTTAATCATTTCCAAGTTGCTATGCTTGATGCTGTAGCCCAGGGTCATCCAAAAATTGTTCCAAAGAATACTAAAGCTTTTAATTGTATGATTAAAACTGGATCCCACAAACAGAGCTGTAAACTTTTTTTTTTTCACCACCATTTTTCAAAACACAAAATTTTGGACATAAAATCTCAAATCATCAAGATGTGTTATGATTGTGGTACCTAAATGAAACAAAACAGAAAGGCGATTTCCAACAATAATGCCTAGGGGAAGAGTTTTACTTCTTAAAAAGCCCTAAAAGTTTGATGAATCCTCACTGCTCTTTTTGAATCTGAAAATGTAAAAATAACAATAAAGTAAAGGTTATATAAACTACTTACAAATGATCATAGTCTCATTTAATTACAATATTAACTTAACAATTTATTTTCACTCATTAGAATGTTATTTTCTACGGTAATCTGTAATTGTAATGCAAATTTTTCATTTAAAATAAAATTAATTCATTTTTAAAAAGAACCTACCTTAACTTTGAAATGTTATTAATGCATAGTGCTGCACACCTTTCGTTGCGGTAGGTATCATATTACTAGTTCCGACTTAGTGAATTTTATTAAATTTGCAAAGCGTCTGCCTTGCTACTGTAGCTAAACTAACTTAAGGATAAAGCTTCACATTTCATTTCAAGTAGGTTTGCAGAAAATGATTTATTTAATTTTTCAACTACAGCATTATTACCAGGAGCTCTGTTACTTAATGTGTTGAAAATATTACAGGTACTAAAAATCTTTTCCTCAATATCTCCGACAGGGATGTTATTAAGCAGAGCATATATGTTGTAACAATGTTTTTTAAAACCTGACAGGCATGGTCAGCATGATCAATGGCTTTCCCCCCAGGAAGTTTTTTAACACTTAGAGTAAGGTAAGGGCTGTTCCGATGTTAAAATGTGAATCTGATCCAATGTCTTCCTTTCAGTGTTGCTGCATCCCTGGACAAATTTGAATTTTTATGGAATAATACAAACTCAGCAACTTGAATGTTGGCCAGCACTCCAAGTTCATAAGCCATTTGTGTGCAACAGTAGACATATTATATTTGGAACATTTGTAATTTCTTTTCCTTTCAGTGATTTAATAACATTTTTGATTTTGAGTCAAAATGTGCAGCTGAAACTTGCACATGGTTGATTGAACATGTGTACCCTGCCTTCCTCATGGGGATCTCATATATCTAATTAGATAGTCTTAGTTACTTAGTTTGTATTTGTATTTCATTTTCATCTAGTGTCTCATCATCCACAGGTAATTGAAGTTGAAGATAACTAAATTCATCTTTTACTTTTAGTTTTAGTCGTTTTGCTCTATGACCTCTGACTATATAATATAGGCTATATATATATATATATAAATGAAAAAAGCGATTTAAAACCTTAAGGCTATGGCCAAATTAAGGCTAAAACTAAGACTAAGGCTAAGACTAAGGGCCTCGATTTTGAATTTTGTCAAAAAATTTGACACTCAACCAAAGTAAAATACCTAGATCATGGATGAGATTAATGAGAATAATCCTTGACATAACATAACTTAACGCTGTATATCATAATACTAATAATTTTATAATGCACAGTATAATAAATAATATTGATTTAGTAATACTAATTAATAGTCTTTATTTCTGGATTAATAGTAAATAGTCTATAGTCTATAGTGATAGTCTATAGTCTATAGTCTATAGTCATAGTAATAATAGTAATAAATAGGCAAAGTAAACTTTTAAACAAGTTAACATTTACTTTTACTACGGCATCATTTTGCCGGGGGATGGGGCGGGGTAAGCCTTCTAAATAGTTGGTATAACTGTTTTTAAAATACAATAATTCTTTGCAAAAATAATCAGTTTTATGATGACAACAAAATAATCGTTGTCTTCTCATGTTTACACAAATGACAAATGATCACGTGATATTTAGGCCATGGCCTTGGGCTATATAATATTACATTAATAAAATGACTGATAAATAAATGTATCAATTGATAGTTATCTAATGTTTTTAACATTATAATTGCTTACATTTTTGTAAGATGATTAATGTTCAACAAATACCACAATAAAACTAATCAAGGACAAGATAATACATACGGAAATCGGGGTTTAATAATAATAATCGGAGGCGAACCAGGCCAGGCCTACGCCTACTGATAAAAATAAAGCTCCTAAATAGTTTCTGGTCATGTGACATATTTGTTTATGATTGTTATTACGGTGAAAGAGTATAAATGAAAAATAACACCAATGAGGTTTAATGTTATTGTAGGGAGTAATTAGGCTACAGATTTGTTCTTCAAATACACATTTAAGTAAACCTCCATGCATGGTAGACACTAATTAAGATCATTTAGACTACTTTAGACTTGTGCAGCATGAAGCCCTACTTTTTTTTGTTATTCCTACTAATTTTCGTAGGCGGGATTATCGAAACACAGACATTGGATGTGTTTCGAATGTCAATCGAAGAAGAAAGTAAGTTTTATCTTTAAACTATTACAGAAATTCTTCATTAATAAATTGTCAAATAACTTGCATCACTGTAAAATAAATTTAAAATCGGCAAAAGTTATACTTCAGGCACTGTCTCACTAGCCTAGCTGCGAGGTGCATGCAGAGACAGAGTTTTTCCGTGAGAATGGAGCGGCAAATATCTGGGTCCACCAGTGCAGGATTTATGCTGACCCTAGCTATGCCACTGGTTACAAACATGGGCCTTAGTCCTGCTTTGTATCTTAATACTTAATATATTACTGAAATATTTATTAGTAGTAGGCATATAATATAATAAATAATTCAATATAATTCAGTCTGACAATTCTTAACTCTTAACTTAATATAGTTTTAATTTTAAATCATGGTGGCTTTCTTCCTCAGATAAATTATATGAAAGGCATATAAATGATGCTCGTGATACAAAAGTAGGTGCAGTGTCATTTGCATTTGCCAAACATTTTCAAGATCACATGGTACTACAGAAAGCTCCACAAAAAGCCAACATTTATGGATTTTCCCCATCTATTGGCCAGAGAGTTACTTTGCAGGTACATATTATCTTGGAAATTAATTTTCATGTTTAAACAAAGACAAGGGTCAAGGGCCAATTTTCTTTCTAATTACTAACATACTTTTTCCATTTATATAACTTTTTAAATTAAAGAAATTGAATCCAAATAGTTTTTGATTCAATATCAATAATACTAATAATAGGCTACATTTTGTTATAAATAATATAAAGGAAGTAGGCAACTATATTATATAGTGTATAAGTTAGTATAAGAATATAAAGTAGAAATTATTATTACCATTCAGAAATAAAAATGTCAGTAAGTAGTGTTTCTCTTTTAAGAAAAAAAAAAAAATTTTTTTTAAAGAAATATGCCACATTTGCTTTTCAAACAGCTTAATACTGTGCCTGCCACTCATGCCTACAACTACCAGACTACAGTACAGCAAAGTTCAGTTTCGGGAGTTGGGGTGTGGAATTTTGTGCTTGACCCTTTTGCTCCAGGTGTTTCAGTGACCATCAAAGTTGAGTCCAATGGAGTTTCTCACACCATTACTGATGTTCTTTTTGGAGATGTCTGGATATGTTCTGGTCAGTCAAACATGCAGATGACAGTTAGTATGGTAAGTAACTTTTAGAAAATATATAACAATTTTAGCCCATTAAGAATAGAATGACTGTAGGAATTCGATTTAAAATTTTTTATAACTATATTTTTTAATTTCTACAATTTCGTCGTAAGTCTCGAAATTCATCTTTTATTTACCATTAGGTATTTGATAGATTTCTTTTAAAAATATTGTTTACATTTTAACAGATTGACGGAGGCTCACAGGAAATTGCTGATGCCCACAACTACCCAAATATCCGTCTCATGACAGTCAATATGGATGAATCTCCCATACCTCTGCTGGACCTTATTAAAATTGAACAAAATTGGGCCAGAGCAGATCGTGGTCTGTTTCAAATTTCTTGCATCTTTTTAAATGTTGCTGATAGTAAAATTTAAAATTAGGAATTGTTTTTAACTAACATTTAGGAGCCAGGCTTGTAGAATTATATTGTTAAGTCATTAGAAATAATTGTTGTAGTTGCAATATCAGAGTTATTTGTTAGGTTCAGTTTGATTCCTTTGGATAAAAATAAGAGCATCTCTTTACTTTTATTTACTTTTAATAAAAATTTTATTATTTTTACTTGTATTTGTTTCATTTGTTTTTCTTCAATTCTTAGTGATGCACACAGCTTTTGTTTCATCATCAAATTTGATTTAAACTTTAAATCCAATTTTTTGAAGTACAAGTAGCTTTACAAAATGAAAATTACTTGCTCATTGGTTGGCAATCGTATAATATAATTCAGTGAATAAATGTCAATGGTTGACCCTGCACTACATATCATAACATATGATTAATTTTTCAGACTCTGTAGGTCACTGGGATTGGTCTTACTTTTCTGCTGTATGTTGGCTTTTTGGCAAAGAGATACATAAGGCAAGAAACTATCCCATTGGTCTAATAGCCTCTGATTGGGGAGGCACTGCAATCCGTACATGGTCATCCCCTCAAGCTGTTGCTACCTGTGGCCCAACTGAAGAACAGCAACATGGAGACCATCATTACCAAGAGTAAGTAGCTTCCATTAGAGCATTTGCAGATATCAGCAGAAGAGTATGGAACCAGTTCTCTTATATGGCATTATGATCTTTTTTTCTTCATGAAAGTACCCCATCAATATTATAAACAATAATTATCATTGTTACATTGTTATAAATCTGAAGTTTTATAATTTAGTCGAGGTAGTTCTTCAAGAAGAAGTTGAATGAAACTATTTAATATATTAAATGGATTTGACAAAATAGTAGTTTTATTGATTATACTTATTTTTAACACATATAGATAGTCTTTTTCAAGGCAAATGATTTGAAATTGTTTTTTCCTATGATTAAAAAAATATATATTTATCTGAGTGTTCATATTAATATTTTGTTTAAAGATATCTAAAGACAGTTACGCCCCATTTGTCTGATGTGCCTCAGAATAACTCTGCATGTTGGAACTCCATGATCTATCCTCTCCTTGGTACAACAATTTATGGAGCCATCTGGTATCAAGGTAAACAGAAGTTGCTTTTGAATATGGAACACATTGAACTCGTATTTGATAATGCTTTAAGCTGGATTGTTAAAACAAGTCTTACACGTGTCTTATTAATCTGGGAGCCAAATAATAATTTGTGGTGTACATTTGAAAAATGCATTTAATATTTCTTTCTAAATGAGAATTAATTTTTAAATCAACCTTTACTGCATACATATTTTATATGTAAAATATAATTTTGAATTCATTCCTTTACCTTTAAGGATTTTAAATCAGTTTTCAAACTGAGAACAGTTCCTTCTAACAATCTAGTGCAAAGGAATAAGAAGAGTTCAACCTAATTCTTTGCTTATATTTTTTAATGAAATAAAAACTAAGTGCTAAAATCATTTTAACCCACAAACTGTGGTCGGCCAAAAAAAATCGGCAGACTTTCTCGTTATGTACTGTGGCGGCCAATAAAAAATACGGTCTCATAGCAACTTCCAATTCAATATTTAACCGGAATTATAGCCACGTCCTTTTATTAATAATTAAACTATCTTCCGGTTCAAGCTGTTTCGTGATAACTTGAAAATAAATTCTTTTTAATTGGAGTTTTATATCGCTGTTTTTTTTAAAGCTAAAATGGTTGAAACTATGGCTGGTCTTTAGTACGAGAACTAATAGAAATATGTTTGAAAGCTTTTTAGGAGAGGTTTTAAGTGATACTGATGATGATTTTAACATTCTCCATGACGATATCAATTGAGATTATTCCTCTCGTGAATTTTATACTAGTCTTGGTGATACTGAAGTAGGCCTACTGAGGCTACTGTTAGACTTCGAGCCAGGCCCGGAGGTTGGGCAACGACTGACTGAATTGTAGTCACAGAAGCTACAGATTATAGTTCAGAACTAATAAATTTTATAGTTAAACAACCCAAATCAGTTCCACAGTTCCTTTTTAAATGTTTACTAGTCAATAATATTTTGCCTGAGATTTCGCATTTTGTACTTGGTTTTAGCAGTGGTTCCAGTTTCTTATATAAATGACCTAAAATTACTAAAATTGCTTTAAGAGGTTTAATTGCAATCAAAACCTTAGCAAACTATACATTTTCTTAAAGATAAATGAATTGGCTACAACATATAGATTTGTGTTTTAAGTGTATCTATAAAAATTAATGATGTTATGAGCACTTGAAAGCAAGACATTTTGTGTGGGGGGGGGGGGTTTCTTGAGAACTCCAAGGTCAAGGACACTGAGCAAAATTTTTTTACAGGGTGGGCAATATGGTCAACTTTATCCCCATCCAATTACCTTTCTAAAAATATATACTTATAGGGGTCTTGTATCAATATTTCTATGTCATTTAATGCAATTTCAAATGGCACTCAAAATGCTCTGAAAAGCTCCACACCACAGAATGATGCATGCCACAGTTTGTGGGTTAAATATGGAGTGGAATAACTTTAATTTTGCAAACACTAATAATATAAATACCAGAGATTTATCTTTTTTTCTAAAGGCAGAACTTTTGATAAATGGAAAATTTAAGACATTTATCTTATACTAGGGCATAACCGGGTGAAATTTTTTACACTGTGTCCGAGTATTTTAAGAAATACCTAGTGGGTCCAAGTTTTACCAAAAAACTGTGAACTTCTTATTCTCTATAAAAAATAGTCCTATAGACAGTCCTACGCCCTACCTATTGGAATTTAGACATTAGTCGTAAAGACATTCCTACACCATACCCATGGCTCTTTATTGATCAATATTATAGTAGCCTCTGAAAAAAATTCAACCTTTTTATCTGAGTTCAACCTTCACCCATGACGTTTGCTGCTTGACAGCTTTTTTTCCCCCCCACTCAGTACTATTAATATAAAATATGTTGAGTTCGAGGAAGGGCGGGTTGTCAAAAGGAAGTAGCCATACCAGAAGCAAAATATGTATAAGAGATGCTAGGCCAGTGTTTCCCAACCTTTTTTGTGCCATTCCCCACATAAGCATTTCTCAAATTTGTGTGCCCCTATGTAGTATAAAGATAATTTTTAATATTAAAAATCTAAATTGTT